AGTTGTGACACACTGCTTCCACGCGGTGACTTGTTTTAGTTACAGACTACAACGTAAGCAACACTAATGCATCGGTTAAGCAAGGAATGGAGATTTTTCAGCCCTTTCGTGAACACAGTAGTTAAAACCAGGTAGATTTAATCAGTGTAAAATGTTGCATTCTCTATTAATCAATTTCAAAACTGAATAATAGGATGGTAAAAATAGAGCTCCAAAAAGAAAGCCTATCTTTAGGAAAGGTTTGCTGGAGAGACTCCTCCGCGCCCTGGGTTTCGGGAGATGGTGACTCCTGCCCACGTTCCGTGTTCCCAGTCGTTCCTGCTTTACTTGCTCCTTTCCTTCTCCTGTGCCAGGCGGAGCCCTTACACGTCTTGGTGCCTGTCACCCCTGCCCCTCCTGACAGTTCTGCCAGGCCCATGTTTTTGTGTTAATGAGCCCGGCTGGCCCTGAGCGCTGGGAAGCGGCCCCTTTCCCTGCCTGCCGTCAGGTGTTCCGCGGTGTTGGATGGACACACGCCGCCGCTGTTCAGGGACAGCTGCCTCCCGCAGGCACTGTGCGGCGCGGTCCTCCTCCTGCTGCGGTGGCCCATGCCTGTGAGCCGCCTTCCTGCAGCTGGACTCAGGTGTTTGGCAGGCGAGGAGGCGGTTGCAGGCTTCGCAGCAGGATGTGGCAAGAAAGGGGCAGAGTTTTTGTGAGAATCACACTGGACTCTTCTCTGAGGTCCCCTTTGGCCTGAAAGTTGGAGAGGTGAGAGAGAGGCGAGTTTTACATGTCGGTATGTGTATTACACAGAAGACACGGCCTGTTCTGTGTGACTCATTTGGGGGTACTTTATTTTTATTTGTTTTAAAGAATACGAAATAGTAATAGAAAAACCAGCCTTAGAAATGATACAAAATTTCACTAAACAAAGTAATAGGAATTCAACAGTGGTTGCTGTATTACGCGATGTTATCTTCAACATGTTGTTTAGGTTACCAGATCTGAATGTGCAAAATTGGTTAAAACGAAACAAAAAAAACAAACAAACAAACAAAAACAAAACAAAAAAAAAAAAAACCCAGCAAAAAGTTAAATTAAAAAACGAATAAAAGCTTTTCTTTTAAAAACATTAAGCATGTCCATTTTTGAAAGGAACATTAACTGCTCCTTTCAGAAGACCAGCAGAAATCGGTAGTACAGGCTGCAGCCTACGCTGGTCCCCCGAATTTCAAAAAGTATTTTATTGAAATTCAAAAAGTATTTCAAAAAGTCACATTTTATTTTAAATAAAGGTGGTAGGGCAGTAATGCCTAGGGTTCGGTGGGTGCACCCAGGACCAGGCTGGGGTGGTGAAAGGTCAGAAAAGCTCCCCTGGAGGAGGAGGTGGCCATGCTGAGCATAGGATGTGCGGGTCAGCGTGCAGGGGACAGGGAGCAGCAGCCGGCCCAGGAGTGGCGAAGGCCTCTGGCTCCACCCCCGCATGCACTGTGCCCTACCCCCCAGGCTCCTCCGGCCTCTGCTGTCCTCACCACTGAGCTCCCCTGGCATTGTCAGCGCTCAGTCTCCGGCACCCTCCTGCCTCAGCCTGCCCCTCGCTCTGTGGAGTGATCTCTCATTTCCTTTCCTAAATCATGTCAGTTGTCCTTTATTGCACCTCTTCTAGTGCAGGTGCGAGAGAGCCCACTCGCACAGTACCCTTACTTGTGGTACCCGGATGACCTTTGTTCTTTATAATGCCAGGCTTCCTACCTGGGCAAGGGAGTGCTCGAGGGGGCAAATGAATGACAGAAATTCTGTGATACGGGCCTAGGATAGCTGATTATTAATTTTTTAATGCCCAAATAGTCTCACTACCTTACCTTCCTTTCTGGGAGTTAATGTCTGTAATTTCCTTTTATTTTTAACAACTGAGAAATTAATACATTGCAGAGAAAATAATCTTTTTGTATCTTAGGAATGTTTTCTTTTGTGGAAGTTTTTGAATGGATATTTGGAATGACAGCTTTAATTTGTTATTGTCTACTTTAAATCTGGATGCATTTTACTTTTATAAAATGTATATTGTTCTAAAATCACCAAATTAACTAAACAGTCTTTCTTTGCTTTGGCTAAACAAAATGATTAAGAGACATAAAACTAGATTATAGCACTCGGGACAATCCACTTTTAAGATACATGTTACTCTTCCAGCCCTCTTGTTTTCCAAACTGGTCTCTGTTATTTTCCTATTAGGTAATTGTAACAAATAACTCTTGTTAAATAAATAGTGGGAGTTGGTTTTGGCTTGTTGAGCTTCACAAATGTTTGCGTTTAGAAATAGGAGCGGTAGGGCTATACTAATATACTAGCGTCTGGCTCCCCCTGGTGGTCATTCATATAAAATATTTAGCTGACTTCCTAAATTTTGGAGGCTTAAGTGTGTGGAGCACAGGTTGTAGTTTTTCTGGTTTTGGACGGAAAAAAGGGATAGAAGATGCATTTTCATTTGGTGGACGTATCATCTTATAGAACATAAATCCATTGGTGTGCAATAGCAGCAGTAATAATCTGCTACCAAGTAGTGACAGCATGGGGAGTACAACGTAAAAGGGAATCGGAGGCAGAGTCCCCTGGGAAGCTGTGGCGTGGCTGCAGGAGGCTGGCTGCAGCAGCTAACATGCGCTAACAGAACTAATGCAGCGGTTGACTCCTCCTCCATAGCTTGTTCCAGAATGTCCCAAAAGCTAGACTTGTCACATAATGTTGGGATTCTGGGAAATGACTATTTTTATTTTGAATTCATTTATTTTGATGAATTTGTTTGCGACCAGAGTTTGCAGAGTCACTAAAATTGCCGTGCTTTTATTTTGGGGATTTAGTCGATGCCGGGTTTTACCCGAGTGGTCGTGTCTCGCTCTAACGTCAGGCTCTCTGCACACTCGGCCGGGATGAGGAGGACACGGGGCTGCAGTTACGCGCCCCACGTCACAGCAGGAGGCAGGTGCTGGAGTCCTGAAGCTGCGGGCAGTAGCTCAGCTGGCGCGGCCGCCGGGACCTTTGGTTCTTTTATCCTCTGGGAGCTGTCCTAAGGAGTTCTGCTTCCTTCTGTCTTTTCTTGGTAAAACTTGTAAAATGCATTTATTTTTTATATTGACCAAATTGTTTAGCTTTGGTGCTTACAGCACACTGTTTAGACATCCGTGTGCATCGTGGATGTCCGTGTGGCTGGGTGGAGCGCGTGAGCACAGGGTCTCTCACACACTTTTCAGGTTTACTGTTCTGAGAACACTTGAAATCTCTGCTCACAAGTCTTAAAAATACGGTCCGTTGTTACTATCTGGAGTCACCATGTAATTAAATTTTATTTCTGTGTAATTTATTTTATGCAACAAAAGCTTACATTTATTGAACCCAAAGCGTTAACTTTGTGAAGCAATTAGCGGTTACTAATGGCCTTTGCAGAGGCTGGCAGAGTGACGTGCGCAGCGGCTGGTGGCCAGGGCCTGAAGGACCTCCCTCTACAGCCAAGAGCCTGACTGCAGCCTGCTTGGCTTCCCTGGAGGCCTGGAGCCTTCCGTGTTGTGCGTCTCTGTGGGCCGCGGAGACCTCCACCAGAGAGCTTCGTGCATTTTCCCCCTATCCTTAATGGACCTTGTAGTAGAGCCCCTTTCAATTTTGTTTTGTTTGATTTTGAATGTTAGGAGAAATCATATGCATTGTCACAAAATAGACCTTATGACAAAATTAGATTTTAGGTCATTGCCTTCCTCACTAAAGTCTTAGAGTGAGATGATCTTAGATATAGCGCATTAGCTTTTCTTGGTCTTATTATTTTGTTAGGAAATTTTGTTTTGTTTTCATATAACAAAGATTCTGCCCCAAAACATTGAAGGAATAATGAAATTACAAAGTACTAATGCTAAAACTGCAGCAGGGCAATGCGCATTTATGTACCAAGATTTCTTTGGAAAGAATCTTTAAGATAGATGATCAGCGGTAATTTATGAATATTTATTCTGGACATGGTGGCAATATCCTTATCATGAATGATTATAAAGAACTGCTGCCATCGAGTATTTTACACATGGTGTCCAACTCTTGCGGTGGGTGGTGCAGCAGAGATTCTGTCTAGAAGAGGGAGCCGAAGCCCAGAGAAGCCCTGGTCCCTTTGGCGTTTTCTGGCCGTGACCCGGGCTCTTGTGGTCAGGCCAGGAGCTGCTCTGCACCCCTGGCAGCGCTACGTGGTGGCCCCATAGGGCTGGCTGCGATTGGATACCTGGCGCCCGTGTGGCCCTGGTGCCTCCGGAGCGCTTACAGAGTGGCGAGTGCTACAAAGGAACTGAGTTTTTGAAACTGTAATTAATTTATACAGTCTCTCATGGCCAGTGGGTGTTGCACTGGTGACTGTCGCTCTGTGTGGCTGTTCAGAATCCGTAGAGGTAAGGCCTGGGACATGGGTCAGTGGTCTTGGTGCCTGCCCGGCAAGCGCAGGGACCCGGGTTTGATCCAGATGTGTGGGTCATGGAAGCTCTGTTTCGCCGACAGGCAAACCACGCCCCAGATGAGTTCCTAGTCTGCTTCGGGGTGCAGCGTTAAAGATAGAGACGGTGTAGTACGGTGTTCGTGTGCCCAAATCTTCCCACTGTATATCTGTGGCATCTAGAGATTTTCTTTTTTCACACCATCATTAATATTCAATTGGAAGGGCCAGCCAAATAGCTCAGCGGATTAAGGTACCTGCAAGCAGGCGCAGGGGCTGGGGGTTCCATCCCTGGTGTGCCGTGCAGGTCCCACCCCTGGGTGCACTGAGACAGTGATAGGGACTGGGTGTGGTGGTGTGCGCCTGTAATCCCAGCTCTTGGGAGGCTGTAAACAGGCGGATCACTACGAGTTGATCTAGTAGTGAGACCCTGAACGCCCTGTAGACCCTTCCCTAAAATTAAAAAAAAAAAAAAAATTGAATTGGAAAACTATCGGTTGTGAGAAAAATTTTATGCTCTCTCATGTGCATGACTAAGAATATTTTCCTCTTTTCTCAGGTCATAGAGACATTGTCACGGCTTTCTCGCACACCGATAGCATTGGCCACAGGGATCAGGTAAGCTCATTTCCTTGCAGCTTATTTGTCACATTCAGTTCAGTGTGCTGATGGTTTATTGATTAGTTCCTTGTTGTAAAACATCTTCTATGTAGGGACGATGTGTCTATCACACATGACAATGTGTGGCCTATAGGTACCAAATATACCTTTGATATTTCTTGAGCTCCTAAACATTGCTTCATAAATAACACATACTGGATAACATATTGGATAATGCATATTGGCTAAGCGCCCCCTCCCCCGCTTTCACTGGTGTGTTTCTAGTTTTATTTTTTTTTATACTTTCACTAAGCACGAACATTTAAATAATAAAAATCAGACAAACATAAAGTGCTCTATGTGCAGCATGTGTATGGAAGGCTTTGTAATCTATTAAAAAACTTAGGGCTGGTGAGATGGCTCAGTGGTCTAAGGCACCTACTTAGAACAAGCTTAGCAAAGCACAGGGACCGCGGTTCAATCCCCCAGCACCACATGCCAGCCAGCCCCGCCCCCTGGTGGGCTGAGCTGGCCACACACACACACACACACACACACACATTAAAAATAAATATATTAAAAAAAAAAACTTAGCAAATTAGTTGAATAGATGACGTCATCACGTTGCAGGGCAGTGTTACCCAGTTGGTAAGCGTGGTGGTAGCTCTGTGCTGTTTGATCCAGGACAGAGACTTAAGTTAGATGGGTCAGGACATTTGTATTGCAAGCAGTGCAGCAGCAACACAGCCACGTCGCACAAAAGTGGAGTAGATTTTCTGCATCTGGTTTCCTCAGGCGCCTTACTCCAGCCCCCAGCCATCGCGCAGCCCGGTGTGGCTGCGTCTCTGCTTCTACTCTTGTGGTCCAGCTCGAGGTCGCCTTGTAAAGGAGCAGGGCCAGGCGACCGCACAGGGGTGCTCGGCGCAGGCAGCGGGTGGTGGGGCAGAGGCGAGGCTCTGGGGGGCTGCGAGCCTGGCAGCTTGCTTTGCTTTGCTTTGCTTTGCTTTGCTTTGCTTTGCTTTGCTTGCTTGCTTGCTTGCTTTCTTTCTTTCTTTCTTTCTTTCTTTCTTTCTTTCTTTCTTTCTTCTTCTTTGTATTTTCGGGAAGGGTCTACAGGGTGTTCAGGGTCTCACTACTAGGTCGACTCGTAGTGATCCGCCTGTTGACAGCCTCCCAAGAGCTGGGATTGCAGGTGCGCGCCGCCACGCCCGTCTCAGTTGCGTCTCAGCGCGCCCGGGCGGGGCCGGCGCGGCGGTTGCCAGCTTTCTGTAGCAGTGCCGTGCAGCCCAGGTAATTCTACTCCTCCTCACTCACTTCTGAATGAGTATTTTCATGTTGATGTGTATTTTATGTCATATGTAAGTAGTATATTTTCAAAAACATCCAATTTTTACATATTTATGTATTTTTGATTCTGAAAAATTACTGGCTTTTTCATTTTAATTTTTTTGTCCATATTTTCCACAGTGGATTGCAATGTTCTATTATGTATTTAATGGCATTGACATAAAAGTATAATGACATGTACTTAAATTTGTAAAAAAATCAGTTTGAAACATTGGATTTTTCTTCCCAATTCACTATCATCTGTTATATATTTTAGTCTTCATTCAGCTTGTCACACAAGTGAGACAATGTTTTCATATATGGGTTTGATCTATTTCACTTATGAATATAGCCTCGAGTTGCATCCATTTACCTAAAAAAGTCTCTAGTTTATCCTTCTTTATGGCTGAGTAGTACTCCATTATATAAAAAAACCTGAATCTTTTTTTATCCATTACTCGGTTGGTGGGATTTTTGGGTTGTTTTTAAGATTTAGCTATTACAAATGGTGCTGCTGTAGCCATGGGTTGCACATATATCACTGTGGTATGATGTTTTTAATCTTTCTGGGAAGATGCCCAGAAGTGAAGTAGCTGGATGGAATGGGACCTCTAACCCTAGATTTTTAAGTAGTCTCCTCATTGATGTTCACCGTGGTTGCACCAGTCTACACTCACACCAACAGTAGAGAAGGATTTATTTTCCCCAACAACCTCACCAGCATTTATTACTGGTTGATTTCTTAATGATAGCCATTCTTTCTGGGGTGAGATGAAATCTCAGAGTTGTTTTAATTTGTATCTCATGAATGACCAGTGATACTGAACGTGTTTTCCTGATTTTATTTGACATTTGTATTACTTCATCAGAAGTGAGTATTCATTTCAGATGCCCACTTTTGGATAGCACAAGTATGGTGGGGTCCTTTTAATACTCCATCCTCACAAATAGATAGATCAGGGCCAGGAAGATGGCTAAATAAAAAAAGTGCTTGCCTGGCAAGTGCAAGGGCCTGAGTTCCATCCCTGGTTCTGGGAAAAAACAAAAACAAAACAAATAGGGGCTGGTGAGATGGCTCAGTGGTCTAAAGCACCTACTTAGAACAAGCTTAGCAAAGCACAGGGACCGCGGTTCAATCTCCAGCACCACATGC